GCATTCAAGGTCAAAGCTGAAGCTTTACGGCCTTGGAACCTGGCTTTGGCTGTCCCAACCATGGAGCCATGTTCAAGGGGCGGGGCTTGCGGGAAGCATCAGTTCTATGGTGGCCTCATGGCTGCTTGAGACAGTGGTCAGAAGGAAACACAGGCAGCGTCTACCTGTATACACAGGCCATCACGAGCTAGCAACCAGCATGTTCTACATACCTGAATAAAGTGCGCCGCTGCAGGGGCAGATTCCAAAACCACTAACACATCCCGAAGACCCTTGTGGCTTTGCACACCCTCGTCTTTGCAGCCATGTCGCTCTTTAAGCGGCTGCGACTGCGACTCTCCGACCTAGCCGGCACATTCGCAGTCGAGTTTGGGGCTCCGATTTGCTTGCTGAGCCTCAGCAGAGCATTACAGCTACTCCTGACCTTCGATGTTGAAGGGAGGGGGTCATCAAAATAAGAAGGATGTAAAGACACTGCAGTTTCGCTTGTCGGACTCCACCCCTTTCAGTTGCATATATGGTTTAGGCAGGGTTGCCGGCCCTGAAATCCAAGCCCCAACCCTAAATCTTGATCAGCGTTACCTCAAACCCTCGGCCTCAAACATGCGAACCCTTAAACCCAAAGGCCAAGAACACCTTCCAATCTAGTCCTCCCCAGGCCCTCATCTGTTGGGCCTCATTCACCGCAGGCGCCTGCGCAAGGCCGGCCACTCAGAAGGCTTTGTCGGAACTTCGAGGGTTGCAAAACCTATTCTAATCTTGAGCCCTTATGTCCTAAACCCAGACCCGAATCCCGGGACTCCATTTAAGATCCCCGAAACTATGAAACCCTCACAGAAACCCTTGCCTGAAATCTTGTAGCATCCCCTGTGCAGCCCCTAAAAGTAACTCCGAGGAGAAGACCTTGCGAGTTCAGTTCCAGCAGGGCTCATCCAAGAAGCCCACACACAGAGACATACGCGCACACACACACACACACATCGCTCCATGCCTGTCTGGATGTGTATACAACTGTATATCTATATACACATACAGTATGTACACAAAAGGGCCACGACGCATTGAATAGTGTTTCGGGGTATACTGCTACTGCTACATGATTGAAGGTCACTCCAAGGAACAGCATTACCACTACCATTACCATGTATTCAGGCTCCTGTTTTCCTACTATTTTTTATATGAAACCCAGATAAGAGCATAAAACCAATGCAACAGCCCTAGGCCCTAGAGATGAATAGGCCGAAGGGCTTTGGCGAAAGCTTACAGAGCCAAAGACCCAGCGGTCTCAGGTTCACACAGCGTCTATAGTAGGGGCCTGAATAATCAGAATAAGGTTTGGGGGGGTATCTTCTACTATCATTGTAACAAGGAGCCCCCAAAACACTACAGGTAATTACTCAGGCTCTAGATTATAGTCTTTAGGCTGCGGAGTCTGGAACTTTTGAGATTGGAGGGTTGACTTAGTGAGACTTTATGGTGCATCAGTCATGCAAGAAAACGCTAAGCCCTACTGAACATAAACTTAGCAACCCTGCACCCGCTGGATGCCTTGCCTCGTGGATAACCGATCACAACAGCAATAACTGGAGAAAGGTCAACACGCAGAGCAGCCACCCTGAAACGAAACCGCTACTCAGGCTTCAGTGTCGGAATTTCTGGTGGTGACTACTCCCAGCTTGTCTTCTGTCGAAACCCGGACCCCAAGACCCTAAACCGTGAAAGCCAACCCAACCCATCCAACCCTGAATCCCAAACCCTAGACCCTAAAATCCTAAACCCCAGCCCGAAAACGTGTGTCCTGGACGTCAGGTGGCTCCCGGAGTAGCGGTTCGGGAGACTCCTGGATCACAGCTCCGCTCAGAACCTCCGGCTGCTAGGGTGCGGCTTGAGGGTTCAGAAGGTCAGAAGCTGTTGCGCTGTGGGTTTAGAGGTTTCGGGCTTTACGGCTCTGGGAGTTGCTTCGTGTTTCCAGGCCTTTTGCGGCATAGGCCCTGTACAGCCTACATTCCTGAATCCTAACGCTGGAAGCCCAAGCCTCTCACCCCTAAAGTTCCTAAAGTTTTCAGACGAACCCTGAATCAGAGTTCTGGCCATTTCTGGCCCGTTTAGGGCGTCTGCAAATAGCACAGGCTTCCGCTGCAGTGCTAGGCGATGATGGACCCCGTCGGCTGTCACCAACTCGACAAAGCGAACGTGGTAAGAGTGAGACTGTAGAGCCCAACCCTACTCCAGACCTCATTCCAAGGCTTCATTTACGGCTTAGGCTCCGTGGTACTCTATCCTGAACCCAAGACCCCTTTCTACAGTCTCGGGGTCGATGTGATGCGCTGCATGTGACGGCCTTGTTTCTGAGTCCCAGTAATCCCTGCACGCCCAGACAGCTGCTGGAGCTCTGGACACTACTCATGTCAGTTTTTTCTGAGCGGGGGGGCCTCCAAACTCCTATTTTCGAATACAAGTTGTAGTACGCGGGGGGCCCTCCAAAGTGATGTGTTCGAGTCCGAACGTAGAATATACGTGGAATGCTTTTTCACAGGCTCCTGAGCTCTCGGCCTCCAAACAAGCGTTTCCGGGTACAACTACCGAAGTACAAGTGTTCTGCCCAACATGCTTCCCCAAAGTGCATGCTGTGAAAACACAGATGGCAACTAGTTGCTATATCTGTATGCTCCCAAGCATGCCGAACCAACGGTTCGGCGGTCGTGACTTGCTGCTCCTAGTGGCATGAAACTGTCTGGTCTTTCAATGTTTGGGGATCTCCGCCGGCATAATCTAAACCCGCACACCCTGCAGCCTGAAATGCAGCAGAAGGCTCTCGGCACGCCTGCATGTTGTAGGTGCGATCGCTGACGCTGCATACGAATTTCGCCGTTACCTGTACGGACCCCAGGTTGGTGTACATTGGTTGAACTTTAGGGTCGCCGTGGATTCTCAATGGGGCCATGAGTTGGAGCAAGCCTCTGTCCTTGCTATCTGCACAGGTCCTCCACTTCAACAGCCGCCAGAGTCGGGCCAGGGTGCAGGGACAAGAGGCTGTTCTTAATGAATCGTGTCTGAGCAGGTGACTGGCGGCTCAGGCATCTGAGTGTGTCCAGACACGAAAGCCAGCTCGTAAGAGCCGAAGAGGCACCCGACCCACCACCTGATCAATCCAGTGATCTCTTATCTCTCGTTCCCCTGTCTTCATTCTGGAAGAGCTGTGGTTCCGAAGACAGCCACCAGCCTTCGGCCAAACACATGTTCCATTGCGTGCTGTCGGAGGGAGGGCGGGAGGGAGGAAGGAGGGAGGGAGGGAGGGAGGGAGGGAGGGAGGGAGGGGAGGGAGGGTGCATGTAAATCTCCTGCAAAACCCCGGTCCCAAACTTGCCTGCTCTTCGAGCGGCAGCTGTTCCCACAGCTGTCCGCGTTCGTCGGTGAGAAGCGTTTCGCCTTCTTCAACTGGTTTTGGATTTCTGGTACAGGGCCGCGGCCGGTTTGGGCGCCTAGGATGTAAGATTTCTCAAGTTCTGGGTTCAAAGGGTTCAGGGTTGATGCTCAAGATCTATACTTGGAGGTCATGGTCCGGAGATTCGGGGACTGTCAGGCACAGGAAGGTCCAAAGGGTTCTCACCCTCCGCTCCCCTAGCCAGGCCTAGATTGCTTTAAAACCTAAGGTTTTAACATTTGCGGATCTCAAACCGTGCCCGGAGGTGAGCATGTGACATCAGATTGGTGTGACTTCTTACTTCGGCTACTGCTGAGACCGCCATGACTGCCGTCGCTCGATGTTTCTTCACAGCCTTCTGCATGCCATCGCTGCAAGCATGACTCACTGCTGGCATTCTTCGTGCCATCTTCTACCTGTCCCTTAAGCCTACCTCTGTGAATCCTGGCCGCCTAAACGAACCGCCTTCCCATCCCGGGACTGCCTTCGGCTTTGAAGCACTTGGTCTTGCGCCGGTGCTCGGGGTTGCAGCAGCACATGGGGGGGCCGGCATGGAGAACCGTGCTAGCATCCTCACCTTAGCTCACGCCCAGCTGCTGCATGGGCCGCATTCTTCGTCTATGCGCTGGTCATCCTATATCATTGCGGTGCTGCACTCCTTCGGGAACTGGAACCTGCTTTAGCCTTTTTGCATAATACTAGTAGATTTGAACACCTGCATGCATTGCTTGTCACACGACATTCATGTATATCATCAGCAGCCCATCCCGAATATCATGCATGGTTGAGAGCAGGTTTGCCAAAGATATGACGGTTCTTGTGGTGTCAGGATGGGCTCAAACTACCAGGGCTTCCACAACTAAAACACATCCTGCAAATTGAACAACTACCACCTGCTCCCCAACCATGTAGATGGTTGTCAAACTAAGAGTCCTTCACCGAGGCCCCTAATCGCTTGTAGGGCCCACCATCAAAGTGTATGGATGAGATGTGTAGCTGTGTAGCTTGACACAAGGTCCACCATCTTGACAGCCAGTTTACCTGGGGTCCCCGGCGAGCACATGCTGCCAGCTGCAAGGCCACAAGACTTAACAGAAGATGCATGGAGACACAGGGAACACACCGCAGCCTTCCCCGGCTGGCCTGAGCAAACAAACGACTCCTGCAGGCGGTGGTGAAGCGATGTCCACAGTGCCAGAAAAACAAACGTTGGTACGACCCTGAACGGCAAGAAACCTAGTTTGCAGTAGCGCGCAGGCCTTGGCAGTAAAGGCCAGTTTGAAACTCTTAGGCTATGCTCACGAATCAGAATTCAGAATCAGAAGCCCTTAACTGAAGACCATACACCACGCGATCCCGAAATAGACCTTGCAAAAAAAGTCTAGGACCCGCTGTACGCTGGTTCAAAACCCACAACGAGCGACTGTGTGCTAAGGCAGATGCTCATTCCTATGTGCTAAAGTCGCTAAAGGCCCAAGCCCTGAGCTTTTAATTTAAGCTGTTGATCCTGCATCTTACCTAATCATGAAAGCTCTACTTTCTAACCTGACAGTCTAATAAATCCTCAACCCCGAGCCTGTGCCTTGCGGCGCCCGCAAGCCTGTTTCCGGCACGCCGACACGCGCCAAGCCTGGGTCCCCTAAGGCTTTTGAGAATACGCACAAGGCTGTAATCGGCTGTGAGGATCTATAGGGTCTATAGGATGTACAGCCCGCCTTTTCCGGACACGCTGGTCCGCTCGTACAGAAGGTACCGCAGCCGAAAGGTCCCTTCTAAATGAACAGACCTCCGAAATCGACACTGATGGCAGGTGAGCTGTGCTTTGTATATTCTAAACCCTTCAGCGCAACCCTTCCGAAGCGTTGGCACATTTGGGTCACTGCATGTCGTCCCTTCCACAGACCATTTTGCCAGCGAATGCTTCCGCAGCTTTCTGTTGGGCGCGCCTTCAGCTTACGCATTTCTTGCCTCCGCACGCTTCCGCGGAGCAACGCCTCTTAGGCTGCCGGATCAAAAAAAATAAAAAGGGATCAATAAAAAAAATAAACTTTAGGATCAAAAAGGAAATAAAAAAGGATCAACAAAAAAATAAAAGGCGAACTCAGGCTGTCTCGGCAATAGCAAATTACGCTACAATTGCCATCCTCCAAGTACTACTTGTACTGCGTCTCAGGGCTCAAGGTGATCGATGCCTGCAACTGGTGTTTCTGGCTTTATACAGCACGATGGGAGCGCAAAACATGCTCCGTAGTCAG